TGTGGCTATGCCTCTACGTCCCCAGGCAGGGCAGCAGCCTCTAACTCCCAGGGCAGACCTGGCACCATGGGAGGTGGAGCTCCACTTCACAGAAAGAAAGACCTTTCTAGCAAGTGGATGTGTGGAGGGACGGGGTGAGGTCCTGGGGCAGGGCTGAGCGCGCTCACGTTGATGATGGCGTCCGTCTGGATGTAGTCCATGTCTGAGTCCCGTAGGCCTAGCTCCTTGCCGTCCCGCTGGGCCGTGCTGACGATGCCCGTGGTCACCGTGTTCTGCAGGGCGAAGGGGCTGCCGATGGCCACCACAAACTCGCCAGGACGCAGGTCTGCCGAGTGGCCCAGCAGCAGCGCCGGGAGCTTTTTCTGGTGGGGGGGGGAACATGGGAGGGAGGGTCAGCTGCCCGCCTTTGGTGGGGACCAGACCCAGGTCAGGGCCCCCTGGAGAGGTGGTCCCAGAAGCAGCTGGATAGAGCCGTCAGGGTGAAGGCCCAGGCAAGTCGCCAACGCAGACTAAGGCCAGGCCGGCCACCAGCTGACCCTTGGTGGACAAGAGAGACCCAGGCTGGCATCTCTGAAGCAGAGGCTCAATCCCACCAGTGCCCACAGGTCTCCCGGGGCGGGCACAGTGTCCATCCCGGGGAGGACACACACAGGGTCCAGCTGGGCTCAGCCTCCGAGGCCATCGAGCCCACTGGTGTGAGGGTCTTAATTCCCTCTGAAACTGACAGAAGTTGTGGACACCAGCACCCCGAAAGTGTACCACACACGAACTGATGCATTGATCCAGAGATCTGTGGGAGACCTGGGGCCCAGCTGAGGACCTGGGGACCCCAGTTATAGAATCCTTGATCCAGTTCAACCTGATCTCCTAATATAGACACATGGGGAAACTGAGGCCCAGAGAGAGAACACGACTTAACCAAGCTCCGCCATCACCCCACAAGCACTGTGACATGCGCGCACTCCTCCCTTTGTTTTGCATGGAGCCAGAGGAGCCCGTCTGTCTGTCTGTCTGACTCTGGAATAGGCTGGGAACTCTGAAGCGGCAGGGAACGTGCTCAGGGGAGGTGCTCTGAGCGCATTAGAAGGGGCCGCAGCGGACGTGCCAGTGCGTGTGAAATGGGTGGGCTGAGGCTCTGTCACCCGCACCCACGTCAATTTCCTGGTTTTGGTGTGGCGCCCCTATGTCAGATGTCACCACTGGGGTAGCTGGGTGTACCTGGGACCTGCCAGCACCACTCCTGCTGTTTCCTGCGAGTCTGGAATTATTTCCGGATAAAAAGTTTTATAAAATGGCGCTGGAGACGGCCATGCCCAGGTCACAGGGCCCTCACCCTCGCTCAGGGCATCGGTGGGGCAGGACCCCACACTGCAGACCCCCTGAACTGCCTGATCCCACCTGGCCACTGCTCATTCTACCCTTTTCACTGTATGCCCCCCATGTCAAACAAGGAATTTTTCCTCTAGGGAGGTCTTTTTCATAGCAGCTGGGGACCAATGTGTGGGTAGAAGGACAGGACGTCTGTCCCAAGTGTTCCCCACCGGCCTCCATCGCCCCACCAGACAGCTGCCTCCCTGGAGTGGGCCCAGGAGGGACAATGGACGTGCCCCTGGCCTTGGAGGACCTGTGTGTGGCTGTGGCTGTGGGCAGCACAGCTCTGGGCCAGCGGGCGGCAGCCTCTCTCTGCCCTGGCGGCTCAGGAAAGCACAGGGCAGGTGTCGGAGACCTTGGTTCTCATCTAAGTTGATCCATGACTGACAAATGGCTGGTCCCCTGGGCCTCAGGTCCTCCAGATGTCCATGGGAAAGTTGGGTTGGGGCGCCTGTAAGCTCCGGAGTCTGGGGAGGTCCCCCCACCCCCACCCCNCCCTGGAATGTGTGTCTTCTGCATGTGCCCATCCACCAAGCCCTCAATCTCCACAGTCCAGGTCAGATGCTCCCGCCTCCAGGAAGCCCTCCTGGTCCCACATCAGCGGCAAGGCCTCCTGCCCGCTGGCCCTCCAGAGCTCGCTCCCTGCTCCTCACGTCATGCTTAGGTGTGTCCACGTCTGACCTCCCTCCATGGTGGGAGCTCCCCGAGGTGAGTGGGGACTGCACCTGACAATTACTGGGGCCCAGGAGCTCTGAACTGCACTTCCTGATGGATTCTGCACATCTCACCTGGGATGAGAATGAGCCTGACCTTGAGGCCTAGGGCAGACCCAGGGGAGGGTGACCGGAGGGGAGTGAGAGGGAGTGAGGACACACCTCTCATCTTGCACGTCGTAGAAAGCGAGGCCGGGGGTGGGGGGGTTGGAACCAGCCTGATCTGTGTCTCCCCTGCCCCAGGTCTTTGAGGGGCACATGGCCTCCACCTGGGCTGCACTCTTGGGTCATCCTTATTCCTGTGACAGCCGCCAGCAGGGCGGGGGACAGGGGACACAGGGCAGCATGCACTCCAGCCCAGCCCCATCCCTG